AAAAAAAAAAAATGCAACACATCTTTGCATCATTAAAGCAAATGTTCCACAGCATAAACAAATGTAACATACCTTGAAATAATATTCCACAACACTCCTGTGTTCTTAGGGGTGTTAAATGAATGTATTATCATTTTTTTAGGCCTCTGAAAAGTATATCACTGTGAACTATAAAAATAAACATTTACCACAGTTTAAAAGAAAAAGTGGATTCAGTGTGAAAAGGGAAACTTGGCCTTAAGTAGCTCTGTGTGCTTTTGCCTTGTCCACAGATATCATTGCAACAGACAAAGAAGAGGTTGCCTTCAAAGACCTGGATGTGGCTGTCCTTGTGGGCTCCATGCCAAGAAGAGAAGGCATGGAGAGGAAAGACCTCCTGAAAGCCAATGTGAAGATCTTCAAAGCCCAGGGCAGTGCCTTGGAGAAGTATGCCAAGAAATCTGTTAAGGTGACTGGCAGCATATTTGACAGTCTCGTTCTTATCTGCATTTTCAAACTTCTGCTTTTGATATTTAAGTGTCAGGAGAATTGCTTGTGGGTTTTGTTTTTTTTTTTTTTCTTTTTCTTTTTCTTTTTCTTTTTTTTGGTTTTTCGAGACAGGGTTTCTCTGTGTAGCTTTGCGCCTTTCCTGGAACTCACTCTGTAGCCCGGCTGTTTCCAGTTCTTACAAAGGTTACTAGGTTCAGACATGGCAGCCTTCTTGTGACTTTGCTGAGGGAACTTGTTGAGAACTTCCGATTCATCTGTGTGTTTTGGAAGATGGCTGCTAAATGCCTTTGTTCTCAGTCACAGGAGATGCAACTTGTGAGTGTTCATATTCTCCAGACAGAATTGTTACAGTCTGTCTCTTAAACTGAGTTGGCATGACTCCCTCTTTTCTGGAGCTATTTATTCTAAATTTGTCTTAATATTTCAAAACCACTCTTTTGAGTTTTTGTTTTGTTTTTCAAGGTGGTTTCTCTATTTAACAGCCCTTGCTATCCTGGAACTAGCTTTGTAGACCAGACTGGCATTGAACTCACAGAGATCCACCTGCCTCTGCCTCCTGAGTGCTGGGATTAAAGGCGTGAGCCACCACCTACCAGCTCCAAAACCACTCTTTACAAGTGACCTATTTGTAATACTTAATAGTTGTTTACATTTTTGCTTTCTGGAGATTTCATTTTAAATAGTTATCTTTGCTCTCTAATCATTAACAAAAAATAAGAACTATAAGGAACACACAGGTCTCTTGGTAAAAGATTACAGAGGTATTCAGACTGGTAAAGCCTGGGCTGCTTGGGATTTGTGGTTCTGTTTACATGGTAATTCTACCCCTGCAAAAAAGTCTTCGTTGGGGAAATACTCACACACTGGGACACCCAGAGGCAGCTGGTGCTCACAGGGGCCAAAAAGATGCATGTGTGTATTTGACTCATTAGATGTAGAGGAGCTGTGAAGACAGTCTGTATTTTATCAAATAGCCCAGGTAATTCTTAGGATTAGACCAGTTTAAGAAACACTTATTCACAAAAAAAAAAAAAAAAATTTGATTTCCTAAAAAAACTTTCAAAAAAAATTTTATGAATGACTCAAACTCTGAGATGAAGCTTTAGATTTCTTGCTTTTTGTGGTAAATAGATGAATGATCTGTCTCAATAGTAAAACATAAAGATATGTCCCTTGGGTTGTAAATATTGCCAGCTGGAAACTGACTTGTATGTCATAGAAATGATTTAAAAAAAAAAAAAAAAAGGTACCTGTTAGATGCTGCGGGCCGCAGGAATATCATAAGAACTCAGCTGGTTATGGCAAAGTCACTACCTGGAGGAATCAGGGAATTC